GCTCATTCATCCGACAAAGTATTTACCAAAAAAAAAAGGAGAAAAAGTTGAAAAGCGAGTATGCAGTAAACATGGAGACGTTTCAAGCGTTCGACTCTCGATCGAACCTTCGAAGCTGCAGCGCGAAAAATCGGGACTCGCCGCCTGTTCGAGGGACACGCTGCCCGTTCGAGGGACTCGCTGCCTGTTCGAGGGACACGCTGCCCGTTCGAGGGACACGCTGCCCATTCGAGGGACACGCTGCCTCGGTCTCACGGCGAGTCCATCAATCGGGCAATACAATGCGTTCCCATTAGAGAAAAGAGACTCCCGGCATTCCCCGCTCGAGGACGTCGGGTCGAGTCATCTCGGCTCCCAAGTACGACCGCGCGTAACGAGCTCGGAATCGCGCCGATCGCGCCGATCGCGCATTTATGACGCGGTGCTCGGTCGCGTCATCGTCGTGGAAAAGCGAAATTCGCGAGCGAGTCGCTCCGTGCCGCTCCATATTTTACAATAGTCGATGCTCGCCAGAATGAGCTTAATCGGTCCGGAAGTCGTTGGCTTTGTCTTTTTTTTTTCCCCTTCCTGCGGCTTTTCGATGCCTCGACACAAAAGGCGGCTTTTCGATGCCCCGACACAAAAGGCGGCTTCGGTTCCGAACCACCATCTCATCCCATAAACAAAATGTGATCCATCGGAATGAGACGATGACAACCTGCAGCCGAATTCCACCGAACCGGCAAAACCCGGAACGCCGGCCAACAACGACTTAATAATGACTTAACGGCTTAATGGCCTCCGTCTCGTAAAGCGGCCCGGACAGAGCGAGGCGAGGAAACGAATCCGGTACGGCGGAGCCATCTAGTGTCACGGGCAACAACTTAACAGGAGCATTCCTCCATCTCGTCGCTTTTTACGAATAAAGACCGACAAAAAAATACTTGCTAATCTTACTTAGTAAGGAATCAAATATTGAAATACATTAAATGAGCATAACTAACTAATTATTTTAATTGAACGTACATAATTAAATCATTATTTCGCTTTAATGCATATAATTAAAAAGGCCGGAAGAGCGAAAGCATCGGGAACAAAGGGAAGTGAGGACTAATTAAGGTAAAAAGCCGCATTTGATCGGAGCACGAATTGATGGAATTGATGGAATTGATGGAAGCAGCATTACATGATGATGGTGGGAGCGACGATGAGCATCCCGGTGCTGCTGAGTTCGGCGATGTGCGTCGGGGAGTCGGACCCGGCGCGGGCGCAGCTGGCGTCCACGATCGTCTTCACGTCCGGGGTCGTCACGGCGCTCCAGTGCACCTTCGGGGTCAGGTACGAGGTTGCGCGGTTGCGGGGGGCGGTTGCGTCCGCCGGTCGCTTTTCCGATTTTTTTTTTTCCCCGCGCCCGAGACGAACCTTGCACATCGTTCGGTTCGCGTTCCAGACTTTCGCCGGTTCGCGAGGAGGCGTCAACGATATTAAAAATTAATGAAAAAATGAAAAAATGAAAAAATGAAAAAATGAAAAAATGAAAAAATGAAAAAATGAAAAAATGATGAGGGCAGGCCGAAAAAGCAACACGAATTTCTCAATTCTTTCCTCACCCGTCCTCGCCCCTCAATGAAAAAAAACTGGAAACGAATTCGAGAATTCCCTAAAACATGCCGATTGAGAAGCGTGCAAATACGCAAATCGCACTTTCCTGCAATTCTATGGAAGGACTCGAAGAACGAATAGGAGCGAAGAGTGACGAGGGATCAAAATAAGTCTTTTTTTTATCATCCCTGACCTTTATTTTTTTTTAACCTTTACTAGTGTAAATAATCGCGATAAACCGATCCGATCCGATTGCAAAAAAGGTTACTTTTCTCATTCTTTAGACATTTTGGTCCATAATTAAAATTCAACAACACATTTTGATCATTTATTTAAAATAAAAATTCACATGTCGATGCTTAATTATTTAATTGTTTACTGCTAAACTAGCCTCAAACTCGAAGATAATGCGAATAAAAATGTATTCCCTTGCAAATAAACGCCGGTGAGAGAAAAGGGGAGCATTCATGGAAATGAACTCATAAGAAAACTGGAACTGTTTCGTTTTTGCGAACCGGCTTTACATTAACTGCAATTTTGGCAAAGGCAATTTTGGCAAAGGCAATTTTGGCAAAGGCAATTTTGGCAAAGGCAATTTTGGCAAAGGCAATTTTGGCAAAGGCAATTTTGGCAGAGGTAATTTTGGATTTTCGCTCGTATTTGGATGAGATTTTCCCGGCTTAAAGCAGCTGGAGTTGTCGGGTGTCGGCCTTCCCCGTGGAATTCGCGAGGGCCGTCGAGGGCGAGGCCGCACGGTCGAGCCCATTCTTCCGACGGATCGCGGGTGGCCGTCACCGTCGGCCGCAAGCCGGAGGAGAGGCGAGGGAGGGAGTCGCTCCATCAACCTTCCCGGCGGGGAGTCCTTCCTCCGGATTCCTCGGAGTCCTTCCTCCGGATTCCTCGGATTCCTCCTCGAAACCCACTTGAGTATTTACACGAGATCGACCGAGGCGAAAGTCGATCCCGTTTCCGCGATGTGCAAGGTTTTTCGTCGATCGAGGAAAAAAAAATTCAAAGAAGAAAGTGGCTGGGGACGCATAACGCCAAGGTGTAAATGTCTGCCCAAGAGTGAGTGGTTCGAGTCACTCGTCGAGCGTCCTAGTGCATGAAATTAAAATAATTTTTGACAGCTAAATACAACAAACTTATAACGATAATACTAATAATACTAAAGAAACTTACACTAAATACACAACTCATACCGATTCCGTTTTAAGTTACGTGCCGATTTAGCACACAACTTAAAATAAAATCCATCCGGGCCACCCGGCGCATTCGGCTGCTGGAACAGGCTGCCCATCGTCCAGGGCGGGACGATTTCCCTCGTCGTCCCCACTTTGGCCGTGCTGAATCTGCCGGAGTGGAAGTGTCCGGCAGCGGAGGATCTGAGGAACATGACCGGGGGGGAGAGGGAGGAGGTCTGGAGGAGCCGGATCAGGGAGGTCCAGGGGGGCATCATCGTCGCGTCTCTCTTCGAGGTCGTCCTCGGATATTGCGGTCGGTCGAGGCCAATCTTTTCAAATATTTTAAAAATTAATTTAAATAATTTTTAATCAATTAAAAAAAATGTTTTGTGATGTTTGGCAGGCGTGATCGGGTCGATGATGCGGTTGTTCTCGCCGTTGGTGGTGACCGCGGTGACGTGTCTCGTCGGCATGGCCCTCTTCGACGTTGCCGCCAGATACGCGGCCGCGAACTGGGGCATCTCCACCCTGTAAGACCCTCCGAATTTCTCGTCCTCGGCCGAGGGGGTTCGTCAGACGCGCGATTTTTCGGTCCGTAGGACGATGGTCCTGGTGATCCTGTTCTCGCAGTACCTGCGACACGCTCGGCTTCCCTGCCCGAGTTACGCGAAGGGGAAGGGATTCCGGATCGTCCGGCTCCAAGTCTTTCTCCTCTTTCCCGTCGGTGCCTCTTTCCGTTTCGTCCCGAAAAAATACGAAACGTTCCAGTTCGATGCCGAATGTGGGCGCTTCGTCGTAGATCCTGCTGGCGATGCTGGTGAGCTGGGCCGCATGTTACGTGCTGACGGTCGCGAACGTGCTGGGGCCGACCGACGCGGCTCGGACGGACGCGAAGATCGCGATCCTGGAGCAAGCGCCGTGGATCCGAGTCCCACTTCCCGGTATGCACCTCGCCCGTCGAGGCCGGGGCGATGGGCTCCATCGGCTCCATCGGCTCCATCGGCTCCATCGACTCCATCGGTTTTATCGGCTTCGTCCGTGTCTTCGCAGGGCAGTGGGGGAGGCCGACGGTGGGGGTGAGCACGGTGATGGGCTTGCTGGCCGGCATCGCCGCTTCTGCCATCGAGAGCATAGGGGACTACTACGCGGCTGCCAGGCTCTCAGGTCTCTGCACTCCGGCTTTCAGTCAAATTTAGTCTTTCGGCAAATTTGCCATTCGCTTCAAAACGGAAGGAAATGGGAGAGGGGACCCCCCTCCCCCACTTTTCCACTCGAGGAGATTCCACGTAAAAATTCTGAGCGAGTGAGATTCCGTGCGGAGTTTGAAATGTCGACCGATCAAACGTCAGAAAGACTTCTCTTAGGAAGTTCCGGCAGCTCGATTTCTAAAGTAGGTCGAACGGCACCGCAAAAGCACCGGACGCCATCGCACGAAAAATCTCGGATGCGATTCCGGATCTCACCGATCTTTCGTGACGCGTGCCAGCATTCGGAATCATGCAACCTCCTCCCTCGCCACCAAGATACGGCACGGAAGATGACTTCGATGCGAGTGCGTCGTCGGACGAGCCTCGGCCTTCGATCGGCAAAAAAAAAAGCACGAAATCGATACGCATGCTAAAGCGGGCTCATTGAACTCCCCCCAATTTATAGCAATCAGATGTAAAGGGCATCGTTGACATAGAAGAGACTGCCTAGTCCGATCCAAGAGAGAGCACTAAAAAGGTAGCATCAATAAAATAAATTAATTAACTTTTAAATTAATTAATGAATTAACACATTATATTTTTTTGTGCAAGGTTCTAGACCATGACAATCAATATGAGACCACTCTCACCATCACATGATTTCTCCTTCATGGTTAGGTGATTCGGTAAACTGCGTATTATAACTTATATGTGGAATTATCGTTTCTAAAAAGGCAATGCCAAGTGGAGGGAGCGAGAATTTTTCTTCGTTCTTCTTCCCGATCCTGACCCCCAAAAAATCGTTTCATACTCTTACGTTTAGGCGTTCCGCCGCCCCCGATCCACGCCATAAACCGAGGTCTGGGCACGGAGGGGCTCGGATCCGTCATTGCCGGCCTCATGGGCACGGGGAACGGCACGACCTCCTACTCCGTCAACATCGGAGCCCTCGGCCTCACCAAGGTCCGATATCTCACTAATATTTTGCTGCTTAAATTTATTTTATTGTATTTTATTTAGTTTTTATTTATTTACTTTGATGTTGGGTGACGAAAGGTGGCGAGTCGACGGGTGATCCAGGTCGCGGCACTCGCCATGGTCTGCTTCGGGGTGTTTGGGAAATTCGGCGCCGCGTTCGTCGCCATCCCCGAGCCCGTGCTCGGGGGCGTCTTCTGCTGCCTCTTCAGCATGATCATCGCCGTCGGTAATGTTGGGGTCCCGGCTCGGGGGGGGGGCTCGGGGTCGCGTCGTTTCGGATGAATGAGCGAGGGTTTTTGTTTGTTTTTCAGGGATCTCCAACCTCCAGTTTGTGGATTTGAATTCCACGAGGAACTTGTTCGTGCTGGGCTTCTCCCTCTTCATGGGGCTGGTGAGGATTAAATATTTAAAAAATCGTAATTAAAATTGATGAAAATTAAAAGAGATTTTAAAAATTATGTTCGTGGGCTGGATAGAAAATTTTCGGAGCGCTTCGGGATGTCAAAAGAGGAAATGTCGATCAGAAATTATTCGACTGCACGAATGCGACGTGGAAATACGGCTAAGTCGAGGAGGAGAAAAGCAGAAAGAGTTACATTTGAAGGGAATTTTGCTCCTCTCAGTACGCTGAGAACAATGGTAAACTTAAACTCAAGTCTTGGGAAAGCAAGTAATCCTGGTCAGATTCGACGAGGCCTTCTCGAATAAGACGCGAGGGAAAAAAAAGCATTTCCTTGTAATTCTGCAAAAAACCTGCCGACATTCCGACGTCCTGTAAACCTGAAACTTCTTTACAAGCGACGAATTTCCCCCCTCTTTCCCCCTTCCTTCTTCCCCCTCCCTCCTAAACCCCCCCCTCTCCCGTGTACAGGTGATCCCAAACTGGATGAATAAGAACCCAGGAGCGATTGCGACCGGGAGCGTGTCCCTCGACCAGGTTCTATCCGTCCTCCTGTCCACGAACATGTTCATCGGCGGCGTCGTCGCCTTCCTGCTCGACAACACCGTCCCCGGTACGTCTCTCCCCGCGTTTCCGCCCAGGCAACGCGACGCCGCGCGACGCCGCGCGACCCTGCCTCCCCCAGCCAGTGTTGCACGATTCGATCGTCTCGTCCCCTAGGGACGGAGAAGGAGCGGGGCCTGGACGCGTGGCAGCGCGAGCCCGACCCTGCAACCGCGCATCTTCTCTCGGCCTATGATTTCCCGTTCGGCATGGAACGCATCAGGAGGTTCGACTTCTCGGATTCTATTTCCTATTTCTTTGTGTGTTTCTTTCATTATTACGAAAATTTTCTCCACGAATTCATCAGCTCTCTTAATAAGTGAGCTTACAGCATATTAGCCGATGGAGGAAGTCAGAGTCCGTTCTGAGAATTATGGAGATTACTGTGCGAATGACCTTTTTCCCACCAAAGCTATCTTCTACAACCATCAACATCACAATGGGATTCCATTGTGCAAAAGAAAAGATTGAAAGCGGGAGAAAAGAATGGTGCCATTGAAGAGCCCATTACCCGCCCAGAATGGAATGGAACCGAGGAGTTATCCCAACCCCCCTTGCTCCTAGTCATTGTTATTGGAGGATGAAAAAAAACCCGAGACAGAAAGTGAAAATTTCTCAGGACTATACAGACGTTATGATATACAGTGTGGTCCAAAAGTCAGGACCCATGGGGATTTTACACTCGTACTGCAGTGAATGTGATTTATACATGGGTTGAATGGCCGCCTCGGGCACCAGATGGCCATCTAGGGCACCGGGTGGCCACTTAATGCACCGGATGGCCACCTCGGACACCAGACCTCACGCCGCTCGACTTCTCTTTGTGGGGGTATCCGAAATCGATCGTCATCGGTGAACCATAGAAGAAAGAAAGAGCAAATTAAAGAGGAGAGTCGAGAAGAGTTCAATCTTCGTTTGAAAGTGGTAGGTTCCACTTTACCTTTCGGCCCTTAAATTTGTTAAAAGATCGAAAAAGGTTCGGACGCTGGCGGCGAGCGGCGTTTCCTCGAGGAACTCGAAATCCCCGTGGATCCTCACTTTCGGGGCACCCCGTATAGGAGAAGCCGTGCATTTGTCAGATCGATTCCTGAGCCGCTCCTGCGCCCTTCAAATGCGAAGAAGCTGGCGAACCATGGAGCTTTTATTTTGGTCGTTTATCACGGTCCGATAAGACATCATGACCTGCGAATAACAGCTTTCGAAGCAATTTCTTTTCGGGATCCGGGAAATCACTTTTTTTTCCCTCTCCCTTTGAACGTGATTTATCGGAAGCTGGGTTTCGCGGTTTCAGTTTTTCAGTGTGACGTTCCAGAACTTGTTCTCGGAGCTTACACTTCATCCATTCACTGACCAATGCAGTCGGAATGAAAATTGAAGAGAGGGAAAGAAAGGCTGATAATCCAGCAGACCGTCTTTGTAACGTTATCAAATGAAAGTAAAGTCATCAATACGTAAAAAAAAAAAATTTGTATCTAATACTCAAGCGCATGGAGAAAGTGGAACAAAAAACAACTTTTCCTCTTAAAAGATTCGGAAGCATCCATTAAAACTTTTATTTTAAATTTTTTCTCTATGCAGTATATAATTTTATTTATATCCACTTTAACTTATTCCAGATGGAGGTGGACCCGCTTCATCCCTTTCAGCCCGACGTACAAGCCGTGGAGCCTCAAGTGCAAGGCATCCCGGGAATGACGCACAAGGACTGGGCAAGGTGTCGCGAGGATGACGCACAAGGACTGGGCAAGGTATCGCGAGGATGACGCACAAGGACTGGGCAAGGTGTCGCGAGGATGACGCACAAGGACTGGGCAAGGTGTCTCGCGTCCGTCAGGTACTGCTTCGTATGTGTCAGGCGGATTTTTTTCTCCAACAAAATAACAGAATGACTTTGGTGCGCCTGTTTTCGTTCTCGAATCGAGTTCAGTAGTTTTACAGAATGAAAGGAAACAAAAAAGCGAAAGTTATTTTTTAAAAGCTGGATTCCTCCAAGCTGTCAGGTTGGAGCAGGGCCATATTCTCCTCCTGATAAGGAAAAAAAAACCAAATTATTTCATTCTACCAATACCATTTGAGCATGAGATAAGCTATTGTTTTGTTCTTCTCGACTCCGGACGATTTCGGTGAAATCGGAGAACCAAATGTGGCTTCTTCTTTGCAATTGCATAAATGCTGCATATATTTATATAAATATATGCATTTATACATATAAATGAAAGAAACGATTGCGATAATTTGCCCAGTTTTGGATGAATGAATTTTCAGTAATAAATGTGAAATGCTTTCAGAAGATACACTATTTTGAAACAGAAAATGAATTGAAACTGACTAAAGTTGCGATCTGTCATTTTGAAGATTGAAGAAAACAGCGATTAAATTCAGGTCGGAAAAGGATCTTAACGTTTTTTAAACTCCCTTGATAGAGGGACAAGGTTCCTCTATCAAGAAGGATGAAAAATAAAATGGAAAATGTATCATATGATCCTAGCAAAAAAAAAAAAAAAAAATTTGAAGAAAGAAAGGGGCGGTTGAGAACGAGTAAGTAGTGAAATAATCTCTTCAATAGAACTGAATGAGGTAAGGGCATTGAAACCTCGTAAAATCCCTTTGGAGACCCAGGCGTGTGACATTGTGCATCATGGGACAAATGGTCTTTTGGGAAATGGGTCCGTTGGGACGGTATTCGCACGGTAATGCTATTTAATTGCCGCGATGATGATCGAGCATTGGAGGGGCGACAGCCTTCGATTCAAATAGAACGTGTATTCTTTTGTTCCTCGATGCCATCAATTCACCGACCCGATAACATAACCATGGGAAATGGTAAATAACTTTCGGCACCTGGCTTTTGGGTCGGTGGTGCGGAACGTCCTCGTCCTTGTGCTTCCGAGCCCACGTGACGCTGACAGGCGGCGATCACGAACGTGGCGCTGGCCGGGAGCAATGCGAACCAGATCGACTGGAGGATCGGAAGGGCGCGGTCTTGGTGCAGTTCTGCCTCCCATCTGCAGCAGGGGTTGTGCACCAGGAGGCTGCTCACCAAGTACGTCATGCCCAGATGGATGGAGGCCATCGATCGCAGGAGGGACATCACCACGGACATCCGATACCGTTTCCAAGATTCGAGCAGCACCGCCGTGGCAATTAGCAAGTAAAAGTAACTCAATACTATTAGGTGCGCCATCTGAAACGACGACGTCCTATTTCGTGCATTTTGGAATTAAAGAACAAGCTAAGGTTCGCGATGACGAAGTATGGGGTATACAAAGTATACAAAATTTTATCCAGCCCGGTAAGAAATTGCCATTTTGCGCGTCATCCACGTCTCACTTGGCAATTCCATTATGTTGGGATACAAGGTGCCTGAGCGAATCGACGTCTCACAAAATTACTAATTATGATATTAGTGATGGGGAAACGAGAGCCCGTTCCACCCCGTGTTCCACGTCCATGTGCATGTGACCGTGTCCCTGCACCCGTCCCTTGGACTTGTAGACCGGTACCATCCGGAAAAGGGGATGAAGAAGGTGGTCACGCACGAGAAGTCCCGCGGCACCCCCAGCCGAAAGAAGGTGGCCAGATCCACCATTCCCGAAAAGGCGACCGCCATCACGAAAGCCACGAATACGGCTTTCCGCCGGTTCGCGAACTCCCCCTTCTCGTCCAGTCCCATTCTGTACTCCACTGCGGTTTCAACAGAATGGAAACCGATTAGGGAATTCAGCGATTGGGTACTTGTCATCCATTATCCTAGAAACAGTTATCTCATTTCTTCCCAGTCGGGGACTAGGCTCCTTCGTGAAATTTGAGAAGAGAAAATCCCAGCCGAATGGATTAGTGAAGGCACGTTCCCTCGAGCCATCTCTTCCCCTTCCAAGGCAATCTATCATCTTCTTCGTTTAAAGAATTACCATGATGGATGATACCTATGCATGAGTGGAGAAGTATGACAGTTCGAGCGCGGCGTCGCTCCCGGTCATCATATCATCAAAGTATGTTAGTATGATTATTGCACACTGAAACTCTTCTAATAATATAGGTCGACCTTAGTAGGCATGTTTGGCATGCACAGTCAGTGAACGAGTCGGAACCAGTTTCCAAACTGTTCCTCTTCTTCGATGCATGACGTCCTGGTTCTCAGCATTCCCGGATTTGTTTGTCCTTTGAATGACAAGCGAAAGTGTATGAAAATGTATGACAGTGACTTTTAGAATATCGAGAGAGTTGCGGTTTCATGCTGTGATCTTGAGTTTTGTCATGCGATGTCGATGACTCATTTGATGAAAGCGGCACATTAAGTTTACTGCATCTGATGCATATAAACAAGGTTTTGACTTTCCGCATTTCCACAATTTCATGTTTTTTTTTTAAATATGAAATTGTGGAAGATTACCAACCAACGAAAATGAGAAAATGAGTTCTCATTTTCGTTGGTTGATAATCTTGCTTTGTAATTTCTTACAATCTTTAACTCTACAATGTTTGCCTTCGTCTCTTTTGCTTTGAACAACATTTTCAATTTAGGACCTGGTCCCAAACACCCCATTTGTGAGAACTTCATCCGAAAGCACACTGAAAAGTCAGGGCTAGGTCGTTCGGGAAACCTCGTCAAGGCTCAGTGGATCCCCCAGAGACGCCACGGAGTCTTCATGTATATATCTCCCCCCTTTCCATGTACAGTATTTCCTGATCCGATTGTAAATTTACGTTAAATATCGTTTATTCTTCCGTTCTCATACTTCCCAATTTGACAACCATTCTCAAGAGCCCACTCGAAACGAATTCTTCAACGTTTTAAGAATTCACAGCTTTACCAAAGAAATATGTGAACCCGATGACGAGCTTGGCGATGGGCTCGAGGGAATTCGTTTCCCCCGAATACAATAGAAAGACGAGATCCGGGAAGGAGTCTGGTTTCCTGTGGCAGTGGCGTAGCGTCGGGGGGGGCAAGGGGGGGGGGGGGGCACGTGCCCCCCGCTTTTCAAGAAAATAAGGAAAAAACCCAGAAATGCATGATAGTAGTATCCAGCGCCGTACCGAGGATATTTGGTGCCCTGCGCTAGATATCAACCCTGCGCCCCCCCCCTCCCCTTCTATACTTCTCTAGCTTCCTCAATACCAACAATATATTAAGTAACAATTCCTATGTTTAATTTTGCTTAATTCAGATAATTCGCATGTTTTTTACATAAATTTTATTCATATTTTATACCAATTTGACAGACAATCGGCGCCCTGTGCGAGCGCACCGCTGGCAGCCCCGTCGGTACGGCTCTGCCTTTCACTCCCCAGTCTCCCCATTATCTTCTTTCCTGCCGTTCCTGCCACATATGATCCTTACCCAAATCCCCTCTTCCTTCTGCGCGTTCCCTTGCAGTCTCTTCTTTCCGACTTTCGTTTCCATTTCCCTATGAATTAGACTGGGTATTTTGAGAATATTCTTAAAGCGATGGCCTTGTTTTTGGGTTTCCTTTTCCAGAAATAGGTCATTTTTGCTGAAGAGTGAGCAGTGCAAAAACTATAACCTTATACGAGCCATATTTTCACCTAATCTCGACAAAGCATTCCTTTTCGGTTGTTTTACAAGGTTGTGCACTATACAGTCAAATTTTAAGAGAAGAGGTACCTAGGGGGAGATTTGGGAGGTTCGGTTCAAATTCTATTAATTTCGATTAATCTTTATTATCATGATTTAATCGATTACTTGGTTGATGAAACTAATCAATCGAAAGCCCTAGAATAAAGTGCTCTCTTACCTTTTCAAAAAAAATTGATTTCGATTTCTAATTAGATGTACACAACGGTTAGAAGAACATCAACTCACCGGCGTAATTCATATGAGTAAACGTAAAAAAAATGAGAAAATTTATTCTTCTTAAAGTTTCACATGAATTTGCTCATTTTCCTTCCTGAAAAAAATTCAAAACATCTGTGACCTGACTTCAAGTTCCTGACTAATTCTTCTTATCAGTCCTCTGGAGCATACAATCATCTTGAACTTATGTTTGATCATATACAATACTTTTAACGGAACATTATACTATGGAGAATAATTTATTTCAACACGAAAACTCATCTAATGACAGTATTGATGGAAATATTACAGTCGATTAACAGTTTCATATTCACTGACGAAAATTTCTGCTTGAAACGTGCATTTTCCTCGATTACGAGGAACACTTTTTTTTTTGCTGCCAATGGGCTTTTATTGTAGAAAATGCATCATGGAGGTAGGAAGGGGAGCGTAAATTCACTTCATAATGGAAATTCAGAATTGTAGGGCGCCCTTCTCATCTGAATGGGAAAATGAATGCAGAATTTGTACTGTTTCGTTTCAAGTGATTACGATGAATTCGATGATTTCTAATGAATTGATGAATGCATTTTTTTTAATAACTCGGCAGCCCATCGGCACAGTGTGCGGGGGCACCGCTCGCACACCCCTTGTTACGGCACTGACAGTATCAAAGAGTTCCCCCCCCCCACTTTTTTCATCCATGCTACGCTTAAGCCCTGTGGTAATAGCGGGACAACACCTTCCCCATCCACCAGAGACCAATCAGTGTCCACGTGCAGCCGGCTGCAAGTTCGCCCACTGCCTTTCCGGGTGCCATCGTCTCCGTCGGTCACACTGTATGATTCGCACGGGAGAGGGGCTTCTGATATGAGATGGAAGCGAGGCACGGATGAGGGTATAACAACATCGTCATTCTCATCCGCGTTCAGTCATTCCCTTTGTTTTTCTCACAACCTTCCACTCTTCGTTTTTAGTGAGCCTCCCTCCATTCCCGAAAGGAAAGAGACCCTGTCCCTGTCCTGTCTGTCCATGTTTTCGTGTGTCTGTGTGTCACACTTTGATTGTCCGACGATAACTAAGAAAATATTGCCCTGACCAATGCGAAAATTGGCAAGCAGGTAGATTTCAATAAGATACTGGCCAAGTTCGTTTCGTGGCGAATTCGCACCAAAATTGGCATTTGTAGCGCAAATTTTTTATATGAAATTTGGTCACGGAGGCATGAGTACCTACTCATATTGCGCATGCGCATACGACCCAAGCCTTGGGTGCCGTGCCGTGTAAGCAACCAGAGCTGTCAGTTCCCTACCAACCTTCGTGACGGACGGTTCCAAGCTAGCACAACCCTCCATCCTCCCATCTTCATTTCACTACCATGGGTAGATTTTCAAACGTAACTGAAAAATGATGTTTTTTATGGCCGGGGACTGGAAAGAGATATCATTTTGTTGAATTAAGTGACAAAATGCGGGTCTCCCAAAATGAAAGGAGGCCCACTACTGGACTGGGCCTGCCCATCTTGTTGAACATTCATTCATCCTGTTGTCCCTGCTTTTCCTGATGGTAACGGATACGGAGATAAAAACAACTCCTCATCCGTGCTCCTTTCGTCTGCGTTTCCTTCTCTTTCTCGATACTGCATAGGCTGAGCTTCAATTACGTCCAATTCTTAGCCTGCAGTGTTCGCGGATAATGAAATTCCTCTGAAGCCAGGGAAACTAATTTCCAGAAAATAGAGAGGCTCTTCTCCGACTTACAGGGTGAATCGATCCTCTCAAGTCGGTTTTTACAATACTTTACGATTTTCCTTGGCACGGAGGCATTAGGCTTTGCGCCAAGGCACCATATGCGCCAGCATGAAGCTCCTCAACAGGTTCAAATCTGAAACAGCGTAAGAATTGTTTTATCCTAATGAAAGTGTTTCTCTGTAGGAAGTTGTTTCTCCATTTCGGGACATCCGTTTCAAAGGCTTTCGAAGAATTTCCTCTTTCAAGAGGAATACCTTCAATACTTGATAAATGATCAATCTGCCCTTTTTAGATTCGGTCTTTGTTGCTTCCTTCATTGCTGAATGCCCTTCTGCTTTTTCTGTTCGAATTGAACTTTGGAAGTGAAATAGAACTTTAATTATGACGGTTTCAGAAGCCACGGATTTTATTCCCTCGAGGATGACAAGAATTTTCAACATTTCTGGGAATCTTCTGGCCAGAAGCAATCATCCTAGTACCATACCTGCCGAGGAGAAATGTGTAAAAATTCGTTTCATCGAAGGAAATCTGGTTAAAAGAGAGAGCTGGCGAATGCAACTGCGCAATTCATGCCAATGACGATCCATTCATCGGAGTGACCGGAGTTGCA